AGATGGAGGATCAGACGAGAGATTTGATTTAGAAAGAAACTATAGAATAGCATATCTTTGACATAATGAGGAAAAAAAATACTGGTTGAAAGAACGTCCTTAAGGTCTCCATACTAGGGTGGTAAGTTCTATTAGAATTTTTTTTTTTCCGATGATTGCTATGTTATTAAATTTGATTATTTGTTAAGACTTATGTTTAATCTTAGCTCCCAAAAACATGCAACTCAAGAGCCTTGTTAATGTGAAACTGGCTCAAGCCTGTGATGAAGCATAGGGACAGCAATAACACAAGTAAGTCTTCCATGTGTTTACTTTTGTTTTAATTGATCTGTTATCTGTAATTTACTATTGATTGATAAATGATTCAGTCAATAAAATGTTAGATAATTGAGCTCATCCCAATTTCCCAGAGCCAAAATGGGTCTTTTGTTTGATTCAAAGAAAGAAAGCTCAAAATCTTTAGAAGCTGAAACCAGAAAATGATTGATATTTTTCTTTGAAAAAAAAGACACAATATGATTGATTGATTATTATTAGGACGGTCAAATGATTAAATTTTTTAAATGCAATTCATCACTGAAATTCAATTGTTGATTTTATTTTGTATTTTTGTAATGTCCTAAGCTAAGAGCACTTTGCTTCCTGTTTGAAAAGAAACCCTGCATTCATTTCGAAAAAAAATTAGGAACTTGATAACAAGTGAAATATTTGATGTCAGGAGGTAGATTTATCTTTTAACTTGTCATCTGAGCCGTCTAGGAGTTTTTTTTATGTGAAATTAGTCATTCAAAGACTCAGAGGTGTAGTTTTTTTCCATCACCGCGCCTACAGAAAGATGCTGCTGTCTGTGTGGTGGCTTAACTATGGTGCGCCTAAAGGGACAAAAAAGCATGTGCACTGCAATAAAATTAACACGTTTACGCTAACAGCCATTATTATTATATTTGGCTAATTACAATATTGTTGATAATGATGTTATCAATAATAAATTTAGTCATAGTTGAAGCTTTACACTTTCAATGCAGAGTCAGAAAGAGGCACAGTTCCTTCAGGAAAGGTGTGCTTTGAAAAATCTGAACCCGGGGAAGCAGAAGTCTGAGGGCAGTAATAATTACACCAGCACTTCCACAAGCCTAATCAATGGTCATTGCGTTTAAGGGGAGCAGCATTGTTGTTAATGAATAGTTGCAATGAACAGTGAGCAATGTGCAATGTGTCTGTGTGTGTGTGTGTGTGTGTGTGTGTGCATAGTTAGTGTTAATGTCTCTAATGAATATGTGGCACACATAGCCTGTGGACACCTGCTGTTGCCATTATAGTCTGAGAGAACGAACTAATCACCCTGGCTTTCAAATATGAGCTGGTTATTCAGAGTTCCTCTATCTCAAGGACCCTTCATTACACGAAGAACATGAGTGTTCTGTGAAAAATGCCATCTTATCAGAACAATGCTTCTTCCAAACACAGCTGACACTTCCTTAGTGACCACAGACCTGAAGGTTAGTATACAAGTAGTGATACAATTCAATATGTTTTTGATACTGTTCCAATTCTCAAAATTACTGTTTTTATTCTGTTTTTTTCTGAAAAGTTGTCCGGCTATTCAGTGGTTAAAATTTTGTGTCGTTACACCTCCAAACACTAGGTGGCAATGCTTTAATCTATATTCCTTAATTTGACTCATAACAAGTCAAACAAAGGGTGCGTTCGAATTGTCCCTCCTATCTCCTTTTACTATCCACTTTACCTTAACCCCGCGAAAACGTCATGAGGTCAAGAAAAGATGTTAGGAGAATTCATAAAGGACTTAGAGAAAGGCGATCTCGTTGCTCTGACAATCCGACCGCATTTTCCACTAGGTGTCGTAATTAAATGCGGCGGGCTGGCAGAGGTTAATGACGTCTGTCTGCCGTGTTGAAACTACAATGTTCCGAAAATGGACTACAAAAAACGCATCTAAAAAACTTTCCCATGTGCCTTCTTACCAGTGAAATAATCCTAATTACCACAAAGTTGGGATTGAAATAAAAGCAATATAGGCTACCAGGCTACGAGTAACAAAAGTGAAACCATCACCTTCCTGTCCACTCATAAGTCAACATCAACATAAATATGATTGTATGAAATGAATTGTTACATTTCTGCAAGATATAACCTACACATATATTTTAAGCATACAAATGTACAACTGCACAGCATTCTTAAGTGAATTAAATATGATGAATAAAACATCATCTGTGTCACTTTACGATCATCGTTCATTTCTGTGAACGGTCGGATGCGCGACTCGCTTTAAATGTTGCGGCCGCAAGGAATTGTGGGGCGTCATATCTCATCTCCTTTCGTAAAGGATGGTCCAGTGTATCCTATGCTAAAGGAGGTTATAAAGGAAGCGTTGACCCACCTTTCCTTAACTTTTAGAGAATTCGAACGGCTCTTATCATGGCCGCCACTTAAGTGCTTCCGGGGTTAAGGTAAAGTGGATAGTGAAAGGAGCTAGGAGGGACAATTCGAACGCACCCATAGACTTGAGACATATGGGTGCGTTCGAATTGTCATTTTTGCTCAGGAAGGTTCCTAACTGAGTGAAATGAACTGGAAGCATTTAAGTGGCGGCTTTGATAAGAGCCGCTCGAATTCTCTAAAAGCTAAGGAAAGGTGGGTCAATGCTTCCTTTATAACATCCTTTAGCATAGGATACACTGGACCATCTTTTACCAAAGGAGTTGACATATGCCAACCCACAATTCCTTTTGGCCGCAACATTTAAAGCGAGTCGCGCATCCGACCATGCACGGAAATGAACGATGATCGTAAAGTGACACAGACCATGTAAGGGATAAAAAGATAAGAGACATTTTTAGCCAGATGATGTTTTATTCAACGTATTTCATTCACTTAAGGGTGCTAGGTGCAGTTGTACATTTATATGCTTAAAACATTATGTCAATCTTGCATAAATTTAACAATTAATTTCATACAATCATATTTATGTTGATGTTGATTTATGAGTGGACAGGAAGGTGATGGTTTCACTTTTGTTACTCGTAGCCTGGTAGTCTATATTGCTTTCATTTCTATCCCAACCTTGTGGTAATTAGGATTATTTCACCGGTAAGAAGGCACAGAAAAAGTTTTTTAGATGCGTTTTTTGTAGTCCATTTTCAGAACATTGTAGTTTCACCACGGCAGACCCACGTCATTAACCTCCTCCAGCCCGTCGCATTTAATTACGACACTTAGTGGAAAATGCGGTCGGATTGTCAGAGCAACGCGATCACCTTTCCCTTAGTCCTTTATGAATTCTCCTAACATCTTTCCTTAACCTCATGACGTTTTCCCCGGGCTTAAGGTAAAGTGGATAGTGAAAGGAGATAGGAGGGACAATTCGGATGAACCCATGTGAGCACATAATGAAAGCCTGCATACATTGAACACAGACCCATAAAAAGACTTAATATTTTCTTCTATTCAGTTGTTAGCCCGGTATCATGAAACTTACCATATTGCCAGATTCTCACCAATATTCAGCTTTAACCCTTAAGAATGAAGTTAGCTGCTAAGCTGCTAGTATGAATAAAACCTACATGGACAAACAAGCCTATGTATCCTAACACAGTCACACTGACAAGTATCTATTGAATCAAACCTTGTCTATACGTTCCTCTGCCACCTCGCTGGCCCCATCCAAGCTCACTGATTAAATCATGCTCGCAAGAAATTCAACAATCAATGTTCACTGAATCCAAGTTCCTGCCTGTTCCTATGGCTACTACAGTAGCAAGACAAGAGGACAGAAATGTGGGAGTTGTGGTTTCTTTTTCTTATCTGGTCTGACAATTTAGGTTAATTCGCACTCCAATGGTATTATGATCACATCATGGACATGTTAGGTACATGTTTTTTTTCTGTCAAAGAGCAGTTGGTGCAAAATGGGGAAGGTGTGAAACAGTGAGGAAGAGACAGCTGCATGAGAGTGAAAAGGGTAAACTAGATGTTGGAAGATTGAGCAGTAGGGGTTACCAGTGTGATAGGCTGAAGGTCTCAGCTGTGAACCTCTCATTTACACCGTCTGAAGGACAGTCACAGCCTATCTCCACCTACTCAGTGGAGAGGAGGCCTTGCCGCCTTTTCTTCCTCACCACGGTTCTCTCTTCTTTAAATGACCTCTTCCTCTATCTCCCTTTCCCTCCCTCTGTCTCTCCTTTTATTTTTCTGTCTGTCAAGCCCGCCCTCTCTTGATAACCCATGGAGCTCCTATTATCATTCTGAATCATCCCACTAAATTACAGTTCAGCCCTACCTCTAGGAAGGTGAATCATGATGAAAATTGTAATAATTAAACCAGTGGGCACAGTCAGTAGGCCTGTCTGTGTATCTGTCTGCTTTTATGCATCTGTGCACATGAGCCATGTATTTCATAGGTCAGTCCAGCTGTACTTCCCTTGTTGGTAATGTGACTGAAATGTGTTATCAAAGGGCTGCAGGACTCTGGCTGGAGCAATGGTGAAACAGAAAGAAATCAAAAACAGGAACTTTTCCCCGCTTTCAGGAACAGCAACGACCCCCTCCCACACACATACACAAACACACAGATGCATGTGCATACACACAAAAAACAATATCCGTCCCCCTCTCTTTTACTTCTTAGTCCACACCACCCTCTCTTTATCTCAGTAGGCAGAAGCAACAGTTAGTGATCACATGACCACAAGAGTCTCTCCACATTGTTGTGTAATACGCTCAAAGTAAATAGAGGAAGTAGATGCAAGCAACCTTTTTCTTTTTCTTCCACTCTATTGCACTATTTAAACAGAATATGCTGAGGGAGAGAGAGATAGAGAGAGAGAGCTACAAGAGCAAGGCCGAGAGAGGAGGGGTGGAGGGATGCTGTTTCCAGGGCAACCAGAGCCGCGGCGGTTGTCATCATGAGGCTTCTTCTGCATTGTGTGCATGTGTGTGTATGGACAGAGCGCGTGTGAGCTCACCCTCCTCTATCCAGACAGGAGGCGAGGACATCCCCCTCTAACACCGTGCCAACAGAGAGAGAGAGAGAGAGAGAGAGAGAGAGAGAGAGAGAGAGAGAGAGACCGAAACCCCATAATGCACTGCACGCTGCAGGGCTGAAGTCGTGCAGATTCATCAGTTCCTGTTCGGAGGGGTTGTGTGTGAGCACACACACTCAAAAGCCAAGACTGAGTGCAGGAGAAACACACGGACAAGCAGGCAGGTAAGACAGCTTTTCCTCTAACCGTGTGGACCACTTCTGGGTTTACAACATGATCTGTTTATCTGTCTGTTTGTGCCTCCTGAGAGGACGAGACGGGAGAGTGGCTCCGTCGAGACGACAGGCTGTTATAAATATTTGACATGTTATGATTCTGACAACTTCCCTGCCTGTTGCTGTTCTGAATTTCTCCTTACTTGAAAATATTTGAGTTCCAATGTTTGAAAGAGATTTTAAAATAGCTGCATGTGGAGCATGGGTTAGTTTACGTCTTCAGGGTTTTTTTGGGCATGTTTTTTCTTCTTGCAGATACTGTCTAACTGTAGTTGATTTGCACTATGCTGGAGAGGTTTTGCATGTACTTTTATAACACAAGTGCTGGTTAACACAATGTAACTTTAGGAAAAGATACCTTGTGTTATGATTTTCCACAGTTTCCACTTTGTCCTTCTTCATAAGGGCACAGTTTTTTGTGTTTAGTGCACTGAACTACTATGCAGCATATGTTGAAGAATTCAAAAATGAATCATTAAAAGCAAAATGATTTCAAGTCATCTGTTTGGTTTTAAAAGATTTAACTGCAAACATCCAGTTTATGTTGCATTATTTAGTCTCATATGCATATTACAAACCATGTTATTTAAAATGTAAGCCCAATGTACCCAGTGTGAAACAACTAGTCCCAATGATGTGATGTAAGTCACACTCTTTAATGGAGACAATCACTAATCACTGCCATGGTGGATTAAGTATCAAAAGCTTATTGTAATATACAGCAGTTTGTCCCATGATACCACAAATGCTTCATTGTGCAAAGCCTCTTTTGAGGTTTGTATATGTTGTTCAACGTGACACCAGTGTGAGCTGATTTGCAAGAAAAAGCGTGGCTTCTCCAATACTGGTCATCCTGTGGTTTAACGGTCACTGAAGCTTGTGACCGTATCAGTTACGCCAGAGACACAGACAGCACGATTGCAGGGCAGGGACTCTTCAACTTTATTACCACAGGGCTCAAAAGGGAAAGTTCAGCCTTTCACCCATAAGGACGCCTTCATGAACTCATGTGTCAGCACTGTCATATCAAACAACAGACGATCACATGAGAGCTGAGAGGGAGCAAAAAAACTTTAAATAATTGATTTCCTAAAATGATTTCTTAATGAAATCTTTATTCCTAAAGGACATGTTTGAATTTAAATCCTGCTTAGATATCCCTGAAGAAAATATGAAAGCATGAGTTGATAATCCAGCTTTTCATTAAGCTCAAGCTTATTTTATTTATACGACACTAGCCCACAGAACATTGAAAAGCAATTCCTTAATTTGTGCATCTTGCACATTTTCATATCCTGTATTTTGGACGTGGGAAGCTTTTTAAGCTCAACACTGAAACCAACTAAGAAAAGAGCTTTTGCAGTGTTGGGAAATAAATAGAAAAAAGAAAACCCAGCTGTAATGCAGATCAGACTGAAACAAATCTTTTGAATATTTTGTTTCCATTTAGCTCTTCTCCCATCTGCTCTCCCCCTGCAGAAATCCACCTGTCAAAGCTCAAAATGGAGAGGCTCCTCTTTTTTCATTACAGTTCCTTTCATTAAGAGTCCCTGCTTCACTGTCTGTGTTGGCGTCTGATAGAATTATCTACCAGACATCTATGTGACAGTAGTATCTATACCTCTGCCTCTATTCTGTAATAATCAGCGTCGGTGTTCAAGAGTCTCAGAGCTGCCTGATTAAACAGAATATGTATGTGTCTGTGTACTGTAGCCTTCTGGGCATTCATGAAAGTGTGAGTTTTCAGTGATTCCAAAATGAAGAAATCAAATATTGTGAGTGGGAAAAAGGAAAAGCAGAAGCTACGTTTGTCTTTCTTTAATTCTAAGCTCAGGAACAACAGTGGTCATACCATAACACACCACAGCTGTTTCAGTGGTGACTTTCAGAGTTTTGGAGGTTTTTGAACAATGCTCATTCATATATTCCAACACTGGTCTGCTAAAGAGCTCTTTGTTGATGGATTCCCACATTTTCCGCTGAGGTCACATCTCAGGGCCCAAGAGTATGGCGGTACCAGAAATAAGTACTATAGGCAGACTAAAGAGAAAGATGCAGAAAATCTCTGCAAGGTCACAGAGTTGTTCAAAGACTGAGATTGTATTTAGTTATTTGTTTGATGATTCGATCTTTAAACCTAACAATAGATAAGAGGTCTGTTATGAGAGTTGAAAACCTCTCAGACTCACTCCGGGTCAACCTGCTGGATTTTCCATTCCTTGAGGTTCCTTAGCAGATATTCTTTTGCTCTCGGTCCAGCTCTGGCTTTTCTTAGCAGCATGGATCACAGATGATATATGGATCCAAATCTACGTGTCCAACTTTAACTCCTCCTGCCTTTGTTCTTTTTCTCAACATTTTCTTTTCTTCTTTTCTGCCTTTAATGATCTAGACCACAAAGGACACATGTTCATGGATCTGTGGCAAGGGTCTGATGATCAGAACGAGCAAGAATGTGAGGGACACTTGTTTAGAAAGCATTGCCTTTAAAGTCATTTCAGTTCTTTCCTCGGTACACAGCCATCAGCAGAGCGCTGAGCAGGAACCTTAGTGTGCATTAAATTATCTGCAATTGCAGCAATTATCTGCAAGTCCAAAACCACTTTCCCTGCATCTTGTGTCTTCATCACTTCGTTTCTCCCTGTAGACTAAAATCCTGCTGTTGCTAAGTGTATTTGCTCAAGTACTTGTTCTCAGGTTTAATGTGGAAGTACTTCTTATTTTATACTTCTTTGCACCTCTAATTCACAATGTCTCAGGGGAAACAAGTGCTTCACATATTCTTATTTGAAAACCTGAAAACTACCATTAAAATAAATTGTACTGTCAAGCAGTGAATTCAATCTTTACAATACATTTTAAAACAACTCCACTACAGGGGCCGGGGGGCAATGTTAAAAAATAAAAAAAATCACATACTTGAATACCATATAATACTTGATAAAATAATATTAAATGACTTTTTACTTTTCATGTCAGTTACATTCATGCTTTTGCAGCCTAGAGGTTCCCATATCAGTATTTTGGCTGTGTCTGCAATCACTCACTTATCACTAGAGTCCGACTGATAAATCGACCAGCCGATAATATCGGCCGATATCAGCATATCAGGTGACTATCGGTATCAACTTTGACTTCAGGCTCACATTGGAAACAATATTGTTTCTTTTGTTTTGCCCTGTTATAAGAACTATCGGCAATCGTTGTTGATGCTTTGATGTCATCATTTGCTCCAGACTGGTCAAATACATTTCAGGGCTTTCATCCTGATTGTGCTTTGTGAAATGACAGACACGGTTTAGAAGCACCAAAGCAACAGCGAGCATGCCTGATTGATGGGCCTTCCCCAATCACAACAAAAAGAAAACATGAATGAGAGAAAAGTTGGAGAGAAATAGCGTCGGACCTTCAATTGCCAGGGAGTGTTTGCTATGGTTTAGCTTGCTTGTTAGCTTGTTTTTGTTGGTGATGCTGTGTGTGTGTGTGTGTGTGTGTGTGTGTGTGTGTGTGTGTGTGTGTGTGTCTATGTGTGTGTGAGAGAGCGAGAGTATTTCCGACGGTGTTTGAATTCGAGTCGTGCACATGAGATAACGCTTCACAGCTGATGTCTGGTGATAGTTTTAAAGTATGGTTTTACTTTGTCCTAAATCTATTCTTGTATTAATGTATTTTAATGTGTATTTTAAACTGCGTCTAAGTCCCTATGTTCTACATTTTATGGTTATACCCGGCTGCTAAGCACATTTCCCCTTGGGGGCAATAATGTTGAAAGTTGAAGTTAAAATTCACATACATTTGAATTAAACTTCCGTCTGTGGGAGTTTTTAAAGAAAACATTAATGGCAATTGCTCCATCCTGATTTAACATGTACAGTCAGGGGCGCCCTCAAGCCATGCTTGACAGTCAGGCTATGAGGTGTGAGCACATAATTGGTGAGCTTTGGTTGTGCGTCGAAAAAAATTCACCCAGTCCACCAAATAATGTCTACAATTGTACCTTGTATGCCCTGCCTTGACCTACCTCTTAGAATATCCTGAACCCAATGCCACTTAATTGTGAACGACCACTGCAGGGCCTCTTTTGGGCATGCCAGTGACTTGCCAAATACAGAATCCATATGAATAATTCCGGCATCTGTGTTACGTTGCTTTCACTTTATGAATGAATGGATAAATATTTATAGTAGATGGAGCAAAACATTAACACTTAGAGCAGCACAGATCCATCACAGGGGCTTCTAAGGGCAGGCTGCAGGCTGCTGTTCAATCAACACCTTTTTTACTTACACAAGTACACACACACTCACGCGCACACGCACACACACACACACACACACACACACACACACACACACACACACACACACACACACACAAGCCAATACAGTAATAAATTCCAAGCACCCTGATATATTGAAGCCACAAGTCAGTGATGTGGCTCTGAGTCACTTGGTAACACCCACCCGACATATACACACACCTCCGCAAACACACAACACCACGCAAGTCACACAAATGCTCACACAGACACACACACATGCACCTGACGTGTTTGATGGAGTTAGACACCATAGCAACAAGAGCTGTGACTCTTGCTGTCCTGTGAGTGGACTGAAGCTGTGGTGGTGGAGGAGGAAAAAGCTATACCAGCTAGCACCGCTACTCAAGTGCAGCTATTATAATTCTCAATCTCTCTGTCTCTCTCCATTCCCTGCTTTTCTTTTTTTCTTCAACAACTGCAATCCACATGCTGAATTTCTCTTTTTTTTTTCTCAAGTACAGTATAAAAGCTGTCAGATGAAAATACTCAAAGAGAGAGAGAGAGAGAGAGAGCGTAGAGGAGGAAGTGGAGAGGTCAGCAGGCATATATTTTTAAAGCCATCGATTGTGCAAAACCTGACACATCATCAGAGGGAATCGCACTTGATCTCTCAGCAGCAACTCCATGC